TTTACAGAAAAAAAAATTAAAAAAAAAAAAAAAAAAAAGAATGAAAAAAAAAAAAAAAAAAAAATAAAAAAAAAAAAAGAAAGAATGAAAAAAAAAAAAAAAAAGAAGAAACTTAAGAAACAAGGAAAGATTTCACTTGTGCAACCTACTTTCAGCATGGCAGAACAGATAGCACCAACCCCTCAGAGCTCATGTTCCAGACCCTTCACTGAGAGGTCTCAAAACTAATTTCACCCAAAGACGCTGCTGGGTGATGGCCCACTTCAATAGATTTGGCATTCCACGTGCACTGGTGCTCAGGCACACCGAAGGAGGAGATCTCAGGCAGTGCCCCTATGCTGGGCTCAGCTCTCTTCCTCTGTTCAGCAAATGTTTGCTGGGAATCCTTCACCTAGCATCATTCCCTGGGCACTATGCTCTTCCACCACCCTGGGCTCGAGGAAGTCCTCACTGGACCTGTGAAAGCCGTTTTAAACCTGGGAGAAGGGCTCAGAGCCAGTGTTTGCCCCTGCAGAGTGCTCTGGGCTTGGTGCACCGTTGTTCTGCAGCCTATCTGGTGTGATCCATGCTCCAGAGATCAGCAGTCCTCTGGCCCTCAGGAGTGGTTTGTGTGCTGTGGAAGGGCTGAGAGCTCTGCAGCCAGGTAACATCCAAGCTAGCAGACTCTACTTCCCATTATCTCTCAGCTAATCAATCCCACAGATTCTCTGCCCTCTTAAGACCAAGGCAGAGTGCCTCTGCTATCAAAGTGTGCTGGAGATGGGACAAGTGCCACAAGATCAGTGCATGGCTGGGACCAGAGTCCAGGCATCCCCAGGACAGGCAGCACTGCTTGGCAGACAATGTGCTTTGGTGACATGGCACATTACAAAGCACAGGTAGCATGTCTGCTGTGCCATGGTATGTCAAGAGTGATGGATAAAGCTTAAAAAAAATCTCCTGAACTCAGAAACAGAGAGGGGGAAATGTGAGAAATTAATTCAAGTAATGTAAATAAAAAATGCACACACACTGTTTGACGAGTGTAACTTTGACCCGATTACTGCGTGGATATTTGATTTTTACTGCTCAAAGCACCAGGGCTTCTTGACAAAACTGCCAGAATAATCTGGGATTAACCTTCTTCAATTACCCTCACAGCAAACTGCTGTATGGGACCCACTGGGTTGCTGTACCTTGTTGCAGTGAGGCATCCCTGTTCGTGCAACCACCCCACAGAAGGACCCAGCTCACCCAATGGA